ATAACTCAATACTTAAGGTAATTACATTCTATGTTGTTCCGGAAATTACTACACCAATCATATTAGGTATTGATTTTTGGCACCATTTTGGTTTGACAAAAAACTTGATGTCATCCAACTTTAGTAATATCACTTTAAACTCAGAAAATCCTATTAACTCAATATCATTAAAAAACGGGTTAGAAGATTACAATAACTTAACGACGGCGCAAAAGCGAATAATTAATAAAATAATTGATAAATTTGACTTAATTAACACAGAAAAGGTTGGTCTTGGTAGAACTTCATTGGAACACCATAAAATAGATACTGGTAACCATAGTCCGATTAAACAGCGTTATTATCCCTTATCACCTATCAAGCAACTAGCACTCGAGAAGGAATTAGATAAAATGTTAGCCCTGGGGGTAGTTTCTCCTTCCCAATCGGCTTGGAATTCTCCAGTAGTAATGGTAGAAAAACCCAATGGTGAAACCAGATTATGCCTAGACTCTCGAAAACTTAATTACGTCACAAAACCAGACGCTTATCCCTTGCCTTATATTAACCAAATATTAGATCATCTTAACAACGCTAAATATTTAACCTCAATTGACCTTAGTGCCGCATATTGGCAGATTCCTTATGACTCTGCAGCATCTGCTGAAAAGACAGCTTTCACAGTTCCTCGTAGAGGCTTATTTCAATTTAATGTGATGTGTTTTGGGTTAGTAGGGGCGTCAGCAACCATGCAACGCTTAATGGATAAATTATTTGGCCCAGAATTCGATAATAAGGTATTTGCTTTTCAAGATGATATAATTTGCATTAGTAACACTTTCTCAGAACATATTGAGCTCCTAGAGAAAATATATCAGCGCCTGAAAGAAGCAGGCCTGACAATAAATAAAAAAAAATCACAGTTTTGTCGCAAAGAGCTCAAATATTTAGGGTATTACATTGATAAACATGGTTTAAGAACGGACCCTGGTAAAGTAGATATAATCCTTAACTATCCTACACCCTCGAACCCCAAGGAGGTAAAAAGATTCCTTGGAATGGCAGGTTGGTACAGAAGATTTGTGAATAATTTCTCTGAAATCAGCAAACCGTTATGTAAACTCACCCGTAAGAATGTGGATTTTGAATGGAACTCTGAGGCACAGAAATCCTTTAATTTGCTTAAAACTGCCCTTGTTTCTGCCCCTATTTTAAAAATGCCAGATTATTCGCGCCCTTTCCGTATTTTGACTGACGCATCTGCATACTCAGCGGCGGCCGTTCTCACCCAGTCTTATGACGGAGTGGAACACCCTATTGCCTACTGTAGCCGCTCACTTAATAAAAATGAAGTTAATTATAGTACAACAGAAAGAGAATTATTAGCTGTTATTTATGCATTAGAACAATTTAGACAATATGTTGAAGGTCAGGAATGTACCATAGTCACAGACCATGCTTCACTGTTGTGGTTTTATAAATTAAAAAACCCCACAGGTCGTTTAGCACGATGGAGCATGCGTCTTAGTCAATTTAACTTTAAAATAGAACACCGGAAGGGTCGGGATCATATCCTCCCGGATACTTTGTCACGTATTAAATTAGATTCAATAGAAATAGATTTATCAAAAGATAGTTGGTACTCTTATATGTTAAATGCAGTAAAGAATAACCCACGTAAATTTCCTAACTTCATGGAAAAAGATGGAAACTTATATAGATATTCGAAAAATAAATATGATCTTACTAGCGAATTTGATTGGAAACTGGTAGTTCCTGAAGAAAATAGATCGGCAATTCTTAGGAAATATCACGATGACCCTACTAGTGCACATTTAGGTGTCATGAAGACACATAGGAGGATCGCCTTACATTATTACTGGCCCCACCTATACGAATGTGTGAAAAAGTATGTGAGTGAATGTGAGACGTGTAAGCAATACAAACCTGTGAACACGGCACGTCCCGGTCTTATGGGAAGTCCTAAGAAAGTGACCAAGCCATTTGAAGCCATTAGTTGTGATCTATTGGGACCCTTTCCAAATTCAAGGAATAGAAATACTTATTTAATAGTTGTTTCAGATTACTTTAGTAAATATGTCATGTTGCACCCTATAAGGTCAGCAACAGGCATGGCTGTAGCAAACTTTATAGAAAAATGTGTATTTTTAGTCCATGGCGTTTGTAAAACCATCTTTATAGATAACGGTCCACAATATGTTAGCTCCCATTTTAGACAGCTGTTAACTAAATATAATGTACCAAACATATATTACAATCCAAAGTATCATCCCCAAACGAACCAAGCTGAGCGGGCAAATAGAAACATAGTTCATGCGATAGCCTGTTATGTAAAATCCGAACATAGAAGGTGGGATGAACACTTAATAGAATTGCAATGTGCTTTAAACACGGCTGTGAATGAAGCAACTAAATTTTCACCCTATTTCCTAATCCATGGTAGAGAGTATATAATAGATGGTAATTTATATTTAAATTCCTTCCCTCCATGTCCGTTAGATCAAATTACCTCAGACAGTACATTGGAGTATGGGAAAAAGTTGCTCGAACTTAATAATATCTTCCAAAAGGTGAGGAAATATTTGATTGTTGCCCACCAACGGAACGAAAAACAATATAACCTCAGAAAAAGACACATTGAATTAAGAGTTGGCCAGATAGTGTATAAACGTACTCATTATTTATCCAATAAGGCAAAGAATTTTTCTTCCAAATTAGCACCAAAATTTATTAAATGTGTAGTGACGGCTAAATTATCACCTTTAGTTTATACTTTAACCGATTTAAATGGTAAATATTTAGGTAATTATCATATTAAAGACATACTAAAATATTCTGAACAACAGAACTAACAAATCTTTGAATTCCTCATAGGATGCTTATTTTAGTCACTTTCAGTATTAAACGATTGGTTAAGAAGAGTTATGGTATAGGAAGAGTGCATATGGAAATCTGTGGGCTACGGTTCGAAACCTGCCTGAAAATTAAATTGTTTTTCTCTTTTAACTAAATAAATATTTATTTACAGCTTTTTTTTAACCTATATGGTCACTTTTAAAAAAAAATATATGCTTAAATGAAATTTCGAGGAATTTTAATATTTTAACACAAAAAAAAAATTTTTTTGATAAAATTATTTTCGTCAAGTTGTGTTTACTGATATGCATATGAGTATGAGAGTAGTATGAAATGCGTGATGTATGAAAAGTTTTTTTTTTTTTCCAAAATAAGCACGTGCAATTTATTTTAATACTTAATAGAAAAATAGATCTTGATGTAAGAAAGGCATAAGCATAAGGAAGTGGACATATACTTTAGACTTGATAATTAAAGATAGGAAGATTGTTGGAAAATAATCTTAATCTTTTGAGTTAGAAAACATACAAACTTCTTTAATCTTGAGTTGTTTTCTTAACTACCTTAAGTTCTTAAGATGAAAAAAAAGCCATGTTATACCACTGGATATTAGATCCAAGAAAGGTATTTACATGAAACTAAAAGAAAAATCATTAAACAGCAAATATTTAATTGTTGCTATTGACTTAGAGTTTAGAACATTACGTGGAGTAAATAAATGGATACTCACGTATATAAGTTTAAATTTTTTTATCTTGGCTAATACTTAGTATTGTTGATTTGTCTGTAAGTCAGTTGCAGGTTAATTAAATAAAAAAAAAAATTTTTTGGGAAAAATTTTTTTGAGATAAGGGGGATGTTGTGTAGCAATTAAATTTAATAACGTTAAAAACTTAGCAATATAATTCTTAAATATTAAGTCGTAGAAATATTATTATTTATTCAGCGCCATCTATCATCATGCATATAAATTATTCAATATCGAAATCCACTTTGAAAAGCAATGGACAAGTACAATATATGTGTGAACCTAGTAGTTGCATTTGGAATGTAAGTTAGAGGGAGCTAGTGTGTAATTTTTTAAATGAGATGCGGAAATGGATGTGACGTCACATTAATGTTCTGGAAACATTGAAAGGCGGAGTCAGCAAAACCGGTCCGTGTGCTTCCTCATACCAAATATGGTGATATGAGAGAAATTTGCAATGACGCTGTCACGTGTTGTAGTAGCCTATAAATAGCAGTGCACAAACAGATTCGCTCTCTTTTGGCTGATAGAACCTTGAAGACCATACTTAGAAAATAGCATTAAGACTAGCAGTGGTAGTCAGTGCATTATATACTTAATATTTCTCCCCGGATTAACGGGTAAGTTCAATACATTTGATTCGTTAGGCTGTAGGTCCAGTTAGTTTTTTATTGAATTATAGAAAAATATGTAATTGGTTCTAGGTCCATTAATTTGGCTAATAAATAACAGTAATAGTCACATTTACTTGATCCTGATTGGAATCTCCTTGGAAATATATATATATATGAGCCTGTGAAGCTTCCTTGAGCAAAAAAGTGACGGGTTCACGTGATGACAGCAAGTCCTGCTTCATCCCTGAGGACATTTGAGTGATCCTGATGCTCCCATGATCTTGCCAAGCTAAGTAAAACTTATAACTTCTTGATATTTAACCAGTGCATACTCCGGATAACAATTTCTGTTTAACGTGATAAAGGATTTCTATTAGTAAACTATAAAGCCATTATAAGTACATAACAAATTTTTATTGTTAGATTTTCAAAATTTAATATTTTATAACTTGTTTAATAATTTGTTTATATAAGAAACTTAAATTGAGTATTACTGTATTAGCACATGATCTTGAATGTTTGAATAGCTTTAAATCAAAAGAAAAATCTTTGAAGAAATATAACTATGTATTTTTAACTTGAATGTGACTAGTATTAAGTTTTAACCATGATGAAATAAGATCTGAATCTTTTTAACAATATAATATCTTGTTCACTGCTGTTTTAGACATTTTCATTTATCTCCCTCAAATCACAGTATCACGGCGCCCTGATTTTAAATTAAATAAGTTTCGAGTCTCATGTACGCCCTGAAATAGTCGGTGGTAACTAAAATTGTTACAATCTTTGTCCGTTTCATCTAACGCATCACGTATGGTTCCATCATGCCTCATACTTAAATATTCTTGATGGTATCTGTTTGGTATGATATTTTTGTTGCAAAGCTCCTGCAGATCTTTGTATTTAGCTGCTGAAATTTTAAGCTCTTCGGCGTATAAAGGTGTGGGTCCTTTTTGGACAGCAGCATTGTTTGCTCTCGATCTGATGATGGAATCCAAATTTATTTCGTAATTGTCACTTTCTTCAAAAAAACCGTATTTAAATTTAACAATAGAATCATTTTTATGTAATTGCACCACTCTTAATGCATTAAAATTAATTTTAAATTTAGCTGGCAATAAAGCCTGTGAAAAGGTCTTCCAATCCATGAAGTCTCCATTCTTTAAAATAGGCATGCGTCCGATATATCAAAACGAATCCAAAATCCGATTTCAAACACAAATCGATACCAAACGATTTCTCAACAAGAAAATCCGATTTCAGAAATCTAACCGAACCAAAACGATCGATCTAGCGATCTAATACCACCACACGTATCTAAATGTAAATCGGATTCGAAATTCGTGCTATCTTTTTTACTCCGCTATGTAGCGATTGGTTAGAAAGAGAGAAAGCGAATTTGTTCACAATTTCGAGAGTCAGTAAAATTCGCTTTGTCTCTTTCTTACCAATCGTAACAAAGCGGAGTAGATGACGCGAATTTCGGAAGTCCGATTTCGGTTTGTTGTTTACGGAAATCTATTGCCATTGAATATGTGCGATCAATTTAGTCTTACGACACAGTACTTAAAGACTATATTTGCGTGACTAGGCTGTGAGGTGATGTATTTTGGCTTATAGCTTAGTGTGCGATTGTTTACTACAAAAACTTGGTGCTTTCGTTTAGGCGCAAATTTAACCTTGATATGCAAGTGCGCGCGTGTCAGTCAGTGATTTTTGTTTGCCGGTTTTAGATAATTATTAATTACGTGTATGTTAAGACTGGATTGGAGTTAAGTAGAGTTCATAAAGATAAAAATAATAAGTCAACTTAGTACATTGGGTTACCTACACATTATTTAAATTGATAGTTTTAATTTGGATTTTTTTTTAACTGTTGTCTTTTTAATTGATTAGACGAGTTTTGTGTTGGTTTTCAAAATATAGTCAATTAATTGTTTGTGATTGTCGTTAGCTAATAAAACCAAATCTAAACACAAACTAGTGAATTGGCTAAGTTAGGCACATCTGAAATCGGATATCTAAAAACGGATTTCGAAATCGATTTTGAAATCTGAAATCCGATAAATATCCGTTTGCGTTCAAAACCAAAAACGCCCATGTCTACTTTAAAACATTTACAATGTAACTTTTAGGATTATGTCTAGCATTAGTAATCATAGTTGGCCACTCAGAAGGAGCCCATACTGTTTTATTACGAACAAAACTTTCAATAGTGCTATGAATAGAGTCAACAGGCACCATGGTGTGTCCAGGTAAAAGATAAGTTACCTTTATTTGTGTAATTGTTATTGCGATTTTCAAGAAATAAATTAACATTGATATCATTCCACGGTTTCTGTTTTGCCCAGCACAGCTATCAGAATATAGATTAACAACAGTATGGGTACCTTTTTGGTCTATCATATTCAAATACTTGAAAAGAACTGTAACTATTTCATTGCAGCCCCTTTTTCCTTGGCATTCGCCCCATAAGTAACAATATCCATCCCTTGTGCCACTTTCATATATACTTTCATTATAATATGCATATTTTCTCGAGTAATATAAGGTCACACTTTTACCGTGTGGAGTATTAAGGACTTTTTCTAAATCAAAGCTCACACATAAGGAGTTAGAATCAGCTTCTTTGCTAAGTTTTTGGTCTTCTAAAAATAGTTCATAAGTGACAATTTAACTTCGGCTATGATTCTCCCAGTTAACAGAAATAAATAACTTATTTTCGCAATCAGAGCATTCTCCATATGCTCTTTCTTTCGAATTCAAGTCGCATTGTATATTACTCAAGATTGCGTCTAGATCCTTGGTATCGATCATTCCCAAAAATTTTAATTTTTTAATTTTTAACATGATGTTTTTGTGTTTTATGCATCCGCACGTTTCTCTGTTTGAGAGTTTAGGGCGCAAAACATAGAAAGGCCGGTACTTCTTAAATGAAGTATACTTTGCTTTGCCACCTGCCAACCTATACTTTTTGTAAAGTGCCTTCAGACTATTCAACAAATAGCGTCGCTGTTGCTTGTTTTTCTTTAAAGTCTTAACTTCATTTTTTCCAACCGTTACGCGACTAACATCGTCTCTTTCATAGAAGTGTTTAATTCCATCAATAAGTATTTTGCTCTTCCTCATAAGGATTTTTCTGCTCCTTTGAACTCCTTTGAACGAGCTCTTCCTTTGAATCCTAATACAGTTGTAGTTATGCTCTTAGCCTTGTACTTCTTCACTATATCATTCTCAACTACGCCTTTAAGAACATTGCGTTCTTGATTATTTTTTGCATTTTCGTATGTTTTCTGTAGAGCAGTAGTTAAAACGTTATAATTCAGAAGCTGTTTCTTTACTGTTTGTTTTTCTGGTGTGATTATGGTGGGCATGTTTTTTTCTATAAAGCTTTCGGTTTTAGAAAGAGGTGTCATTTCATTTTCGTTTTGGAATGTATTTGTAGGCACATTATCTATTTGCAATTCTGCATTTTTTGCTGTCAGTTCTTCAATACGTGCCATTAATGATCGTTGCTTTTTAATTAAACGGGAACATTTCTTTTTAAGAGCTGCAATATTTTTTGACATATTGCTAATTTTTGTCTCATAGTTATTTTTGACTGTAGCCAAATGTTTTTGATACTTTTTCCTTTCTGCTAATCGTGCTTTATTGTCTGTTTGATCATTTTTCATATTTTCTGCAACATTTTGTTTTAGTGTATTTTTTTGTCTATTTTTTCTAGTTCGCCACTGTCTCCTTAGGTTTTTTTTTCAGTTTCCGTACATTCGCTAATTTTTTTTCTTTCTTTATTTCGCGCAGCATTTTTACGTTTAGCTTCTTCAAACTTTTCGTTGTTTGCTCGCATCCGCTCTCGGTACCGCTTCTGTTTAGTGTCCGCCGCAGTTAGTGCCATCTATTAAATAGAAAATATATTTTGTTTTAAATGCTGGGGACTAACTCTTGTAATATTTAGCGTCTGTTGTCGATCATGTATAAATATTATGTCTTTATTTATGAAAACAATGAAATTGCATAACATGTAATTATAACCGCGGCTTCGCCTGAGTGAATTTCCTATGTTTCCGTGTTTATAATAGAAATAATAACTTGTCTATAAGCCGATTTTTGGCACTTAGTTAGAAAATCAACAATTAGTACACCGCATACATCAATCTGGTACTTTAAGTGTGTTGTTCAAAACTTCTTTACGTTATTTTATACTACAACTTAACTACAACTAAATAAATAAACACTATTCAATGATTGGATTAAACAAGAATTATTTCCCGTATTTGGCCTTTTTGAATTTTTAAGAAAAATACTAAAAATCACTTTTAATTTTAGATTCTGTAGTGTATACTACTCTTAACAATCGATCACGAATGTTACGTAACACATATAGTAACACACGTATCATTCGTGAATCAAAACACATGCAGACATAACCTAAAACATAAATTATCGTCGTATGATTTGAAGTAGTAGGACGCTGCATAGTTTGAATTTTGAAAGAAATTGTCTATCTACACACACAATTTAAATAATATAGTAAATTTGCATTCTTACCGTGCATTTTATCGCTGGAAAATATTAAAAACTTACAGAGACAAAAACGTGTCAACTACTTTGAAGAGCACTGTCTCAGAAAACAATATGGCGATTTATTTCCTGAAGTTGCACAACTTGAAGGTGGTGTTGCCATGACTAAAAATATATTTGCTACCCGTGAATTCGGATAGTTTCATGTTGTTATAATGGTAACTTACGTGAGGTATCATTCGGGAATAAAAAGTGAGACACAATATTTTATGAGCTTTTTATTTATTTTTTGTCCTATTATATCTAAACTAGCAAACCAGTGAACCAAATGTTCACCAAAAAAAAAAGATTTAATTAATGGAGAACTTCGGAGATTTTGTGTGGTTTCGTTTGAAATAGAAATCACGTGATTTCTCGAAAACCGGAAGTGCTACGTTACTCACATCCGGTTTGTAGTCTTATCAGACTATTCTCAACTTAGAACTTAAACATTCTCTTTATCTATCTCTTACGGTTTGGCCGCTGAAACAGCACCACGGACGGACGGACGGACGGACTTGTCTAATAGATAAGAGATAATTTAAATTATACTGTAGCAAATTGCCACAATAATTTAGAAATGGCAAAATAATCCAGGTTCCGAAACAATTTTGTGCATTTTTATGACCTCAAAGCATGAAAGGTCTTAGCTGGACACACGACTTTAGTATGGATACGAAAATTAACTATTTCAAAAGAATTAAATTATGCGTGCGTTAATTGCAACTATCAAGAATGTAAATTATTTTTATGAATAAACATTATTTTGCCTACCAGAATCCACTACAACTATCATTTAAATAAAATAGCGTTATTGAGATCTAGTACTCTATATTACGAGGACAGTTTATTTTTTTCAAATGGACAATTTTTGGCGGCCATACTCTTTCGTTGCCTCTTTTAACAATGTAAAGATTTTTGTAACCTTTCGGAGCTAAAACTTTACCTGATTTTGGATATAGTGAAACTCCAGTTTCATCACCGTTCAATATTCTGTCAGGATCTTTCATGATGTCTGCCATTCCTCTTTCAGTCAAATAATTTTCAAGATCTGTAAACCATTTTCTAATTGAGCTCTCTTTTACCGCTTCCCTAGCTTTATAATACTTTCGGGTTCACGTACGCTAATCTCCGGATGCCTTCTTAGAAAACTTTGGTACCAAGTTTGTCCCGGTCGCCCTTCAGGAAACTTATCTTCTTTTCCGATATCTTTTACTAATTTTTTAACTGTTTCCAGCAAGACCTCTTTGCTTACAGGAATACCACATTTTGCTAATTCTTTTATCCAGTCCACAACTTTTTGCTCTCCATCAAGGCCTAATATAGGCTCTGGACCAACTTTTCGAGGCTGTTCTTTCGTTCTACCCGCAATTCGATCTTGGATCGTTGACCGAGGTGCACCATAAAGTCGACAAGTTTCTCTAATACCTTTTTTTTCAATCCTTATAGCCTGCACAGCTTTAGCTAACGCTTCTTCGGTATATTGAAAATGAGTTCTCTTTTTTCTAATATCTTTTTTAAGTTTCTTTTTCTCGGGAGGCATCTGAAAATAAAATTAAGACGGTTGATTACTTTACTTATCTTTACACACATTTGCATTGCACAACTCATTAACTGTTCCATTAAAACATAAAAATAAAACTATGTAGTGGCCAACATAGACTACAAGTTTTCACCCAGTAATAAAACTATCATAATTTATTGTTTGAGACCTCTGCAGCCAGGGATTCTTTTCATCCTTAGCACGTCAGATTTTTTATCTACAAAATCTGACGTGCTAGGGGTAAAAAAAATATCAATTAATTATCCCAGATAGCTTATCTAAAAAATAAGTTTCATTTAAAAAATAATAAAACTGCATCAGAACCTTCACTGTATTTGAAGGTATTAAAGGTTTTTTCCGTAATCAAAACTCAACTGAATTTTAAACGTGTACAAATTACATTCAACAATACCTATGCACATACGATTGTAATTTTTTTTTCTTCATTTACAATATCAATAGATTAATAATTTTTATGTACCTACACAATTTAATTTTCTTAAATATGACCGAATGCTAGATTTAAAACATCTGATTTCCGGCCGTCCTTTTAAAAACGGTCGAAAACTAAGTTTACGTTAGCTTATTTTCGGCCATCTGCTTTTTTACTGGCCGAAAAAGAAATTTATTGCACTAATTTTCGACCATCCCTTGAAACACGGCCGGAAACCAAATTAAAATTGATTAATTTTCGGCCGTATCGTTAGAGTTGACCGAAAACTGACATGAATGTACTAGTTTTCAGCCGTTGGTCAACTTGCTTTATTTTCTAAATAGCTGATAAATCAAAATATAGAAATGTCCCTTTATGTCTGTATTGTTCGTCTGAGTGAAGATTTCGATTCAACTATTTTATTTATTGTCATTTACTATCTTTAGTTTTTACTGACCGAGAATCGGTTAGCAAATTATTAGTTTTCGGACACATCGCTTAGCCTAGGCCGAAAAGTAAATATTAAAAGTCCTATTTTCGGCCGTCAAATATTCAATGACTAAAAAGTGTCATTACCACATATTTGGCTCAAAATATGCGGCCGAAATCTAATCACATAAATGAGAAGCGGTTCTGCTTTTTGTACAAATTATTTCCGTTAAAGCATTTCTTATATAATATTAGAAATAATTAATTCAATGTGAATGGTTTTCTTCTAGATCTCGGCCGGCCGGCCGAGAAACAAATAGTCACCCAAATCACTATCTAGTTTCCCGGCCATCGAATTTAAATGTAAATGACATAATCTTTCTTCCGTTTTAAATAAAATAACACTAACTAAACTTATTTCTCGTAGACAGAACAACAACTTATATTTATATATCGATAATTAACTTTGAAACTTACCTTACTAAAATTCCGCGCGCACTATTTTTTTCACTGATTTCGACACACGCGTGATCTGTAAGACTTTCGGAGGCTCACTGACGACACATTTGGATCATTAAAATGCTACAAATTTAAAACTTTGTAGGGTTAATACCAATAAATTAACTAGTCGTTGTTTTTGAAATGAGTAGGGTAAAGTTGCCTTATTATATTAATATAACGACATATTGGCCGAAAACCAGAGGTGGCCGGCAAACCCAGGTAGCACACAAGTCAGATAACTAGCCAACAATTTAACCTTATGCAGGGTTAAGCTTTATATATTTATAGAAGCTGTGTGTATTGCCAAGTTCTGTATTAAAGTTTTTTTTTGCTATAATAATGCTATTAGCTGAGATAGTTCTGTAATTTGCCGATTTTATATATGAAAGCTGAATAGTCATCATAAATAGGCCTGTTACTCAAGAGTTTGTGTAACCTTTTGTATAACACTGGTATAAAATTCCATTATCAAGCATAGTACTGAATAATTTAGGTTCTGATCTCTTTTAGCTGAATTACACACCACATCTGGACAGTTACACAGCTGCTGTATAAAGTAGGTTTTGTTTCTGTTACGAAGCATATAGTAACTTAACAGAAATTAAGTTAGCTGTTATAACTACTTTATGCCGCTTTGTGTACGAAATTACCTTCATGTGCAGCTAACTGTGGTAAAAGCAAAAGTAACAGATACTTATGCAGAAGTTTGCTGGGTATTCACGAAAAGTAGACATTTTTTAAGCTAGAAGAACTATTCTGGAATATTTGTCAGCATTTATGCGGCTGGTAGTTTTACATTTCAATTGTAGTAGCGCGCGCTGTGTGTGTTTTTGTGTAAAATATTATGCCGCCTATCAAAAAAAATGCTAAATTGTGATGTTAAATTCCCCTCCACAGCTCTTTACTAGCTTACTCCGAGCACCGGGGGAACAATAAAAGAAAACCAAAAAATTAAGATAATGTTATAAGTATATTTTATCCACTTTAGATACCAAAGCCTAGGACTTCAGTAGATTTAAGTTATTGCTTATATAAATCAACAAGTCTAACTATGTTTATTATTTATATAATAACTATGTTTCACTAATTATAAATATCTAAGCTGAATACAGTAGTTCAAAGTTAATGTGTATATAAACCAACAAGTTGTCATGAAAGGTTATAATTATATGAATATCAAACATTCATAACACTTTACCATGTACTTACAATATAATCCTTACTAATATATTTTATCCACAAATACCACATAGACTAGACTGAATAAGCTATTGAGTGGATTTCAGAGGTTCTACGGCTCGTTTGATCGATATTGGTGACAAACTTAGTTAATTCTAGTTCTCAGTGAGATAACCAGCTATATAGATATATGTAAATATATGGAAATGGGTAAGTCGGGGTCCAACCTCGCCTGTTGTTTCCTTTTCAC